TTAGTAAAAGGCGAAAGAATAGTTCGCTTTGCGTCTAATACGTGACTGCATGATTCTCCTTGATGGTTCAACTTGCACTCTATATTGATATCCATAATGTTAGGTACCTCTTGCTTTTCCGGTGTGGGAAAAATCATCAAACATGTTTTTTTGAATGCCCATTAAACATTTAAACATCTATGGTTTCCATGATTTGGTTCTTCCTTTTTATAAAGCATTACAAACTATTTTCAATCACAATTAAATTTTTGGATTATTTCTTTAATGGTATACATTAAGTTTATAATTGTTAAAGTGAAACTTTATCGCAAGCTTTTTGAATGCTCATTAAACATTTAAACATCTATGGTTTCCATGATTTGGTTCTTCTTTTTTTATAAAACATTACAAACTATTTTCAATCACAATTAAATTTTTGGATTATTTCTTTAATGGTATACATTAAGTTTATAATGGTTAAAGTGAAACGTTTCGGAGCCATAATTCTCAAACCAAAAACCCTAACCCTACCTCCTCTCCCTCTCTTTCTCGGCGTGCCCTCCTCCAACCGCATAGCCGCCGCCCTCATCTCCTCGGCGGACTGTCCTCGGCGAAGGCTCAGCCCCACGTCGGCAAACTCCTCCTTCCTCCCTCAATATGGCTTCCTCCGACAAAAATACAAAAAATTCAACCTCCTCCTCCTCCAATCCCCTAGTATCTCACTTTCACCAGGCCAGATATCTCCTACTCTGTTCAGCAGCTTTGTCTCCATCTACACGCCTCCGAGATGTCCATGTCACGGCCATGAAGCGTGTCTTACGCTATCTCCAACATTTTGAGAAACGACATTTTTATATTAGTAGTAATTTTTTAGTTTCATTGTTTTTAAGTCTCTTAGACCTATCAATGTAGTATAAGCGCACAATAGATGGGGATTGAACACTGGATATGGAGAAGTTTGGGGTAGCCGCCATTGTTCTCTAACATTGTGGGGGTGGTGCAAAAGGGGGGATGCACAACGGCAACACTTGGAAAAAAGGTGCTTCTCCGGCACAAAATTCCAGTCAGAAACAGAGAGGAAGTGATTCGTAGGGGTAAGCAAAATAACCGGACCGACCGTGAAACAGAGAATCAAAAACCAAAATAACTGACTTTTCGGTTTTAGTTACCCATTCTCAAATTATCGGTTTTTTCTGTAAATTCGGTCAGTTTTCGGTTCTTTAATTTGGTTTATTCGGTTAACCGAATAACCAAAATCCATATTCACCCCTAATGTTTATTAAATTAATATTACCCATTTTTAAGTTCAAATAAGTAAATTGAGCCCAACCATGTCCCTTTGATCATTTATTCATTCTATTTCCAAGACACATATTTTTCCATATTCATCAATTTATTCCTCCTTTTTTAAATAATTCCTAGCTTTGCTTCTTTTATTATTTAATTTACAAATTGAAGTGTTAAATAAACTTGTTGCTAATAAAATCTGCATTTAGTAAATCTTAATTTTTTACAAATAAAATCTGTACATATAACCATAGATGTCTTTAAAATGCATTTTTGCATTTTTTTGTAAATATAGTTTACTTTTATTTTTTATTATTTCATAATTGGATTAAAATTCAAGGTTGGTTCGGCTATTGGCGGTTTCGCTTCACTTATTGTCGGTTTTGGTTCGGTTTTAGCCCAAGATCGGTTCGGTCCCTTCGGTTATTTTGAATCATAAATTTTTTTGATTAGTTTGGTTTTGGGCTGAATCCGACCGAACCGATCCAATGCTCACCCCTAGTGATTCGTGGACAAATAGGAGGGCTTCTTCATATTTACCTAAAATTTTACCATAATCAATTTTTTCTATAAATGAATTTAAAGGGACTTTGAGGAATTTGTATACCATAATTTACAAAAAAAAATAATTAAAGGTTTTTAGATTTTTTGTGACTGCTCTTTAATTTTTTTGGTCATAATGTAAGTGAGGTGAGTTAGTTTTCTTTTTTATAAATATATGTTGCATATTTTTTGAAAATAATTTTTTTCAAATTTTTTATTTACTTATTTTTTGAAAATAGATATGATAGCATTTAGAAAATAAGTGAGGTGAGATAGTATTTCTAATTATGTATCTCCCAAATAAATTTGAACAAATAACTTCTCAATTGTATAAGTGGGTACATACAATATTCGATTTATTACCTTCAAACTTTAACTATTATTTGTTGGGAATTCTCAATAAAGAGAAACCCTCAAAAAATCAGCGTATGTCACTATTTGCGTCGTACACACAGTATTCTTTAGTAAAAGGCGAAAGAATAGTTTGCTTTGTGGTCAACGCGTGACTGCGTGAGTTATAATTGCTTCGAATTGGACGATATATAGCCGCTCACAAATTCGAGCGCTTCTTGCGCTTCCGGTGTGGGACTAAAAAGCATTAAACCTCGGCGATTTGGGCGCTTCACTTATGCCTTTCAACTCCCATATCACTCCCCTCTTTCCTTCTTCCCCTCTCACTTAACGTTTTGGCTTCATGTCTATCAAATATCAAAACTTGATAAGTCACAAAAACTATTTTAAATGTAATTGAATTAGGTTATATCATACTTTGATAGAATTGCATCAAATTTATCACATCCGATGAATAAAACATACTTTGAAATGATTTGGATGAGTTGAAAGAAGTTTTGATGACTCTCGTGAGATGTTATTTGATCTTTTTTTATAGTCACTTCACCCATTTTCAATATTATTTTTAATTATTATTCATATAATCACACTTATGTCTTCTTTTTATATTTAATTTTTTTCGTTATAATCGAATAAAATAATATGTAGTTTAATATTGATTTGAACTTACTTTTTAAGTATTTTTTTTAATTTACACATCTTTAAAAAATATTTGGATGTTTTGGTAAAAGTTTAGAAAATGTGAATTTCAAATTAAGGTTTTTTTAAATTAATTAAAGTACTCCCTCTATTTCAATAAACCCTTCTCCTTTTAACTTTTAGCCAAAATAAGGAAAGTATATTTATAGTTGATTTTCTAATTTTGTCCTTGATGTGATAGGTAAAGTAAATGTGATAGATTATTAATGACGACGACGCTGCACAATCTGGCATCTACGAGGATGGGGTGGCAATGACGACGTTGCATAGTCTGCATCTACGAGGGGTGGGCGGTGGTGACTGGGCTGCATAAGGAGAAAGGGGAAGGAGATTTCGTGATGGCTTTGTGTGACCAAAAAGAAGGATTAGATAAGTTACTCACTTATTTTAGGGATGACTATATATGTTTTATTCCTAATTAAGAGGTTTATTTTTTGTCAATTTTTAAAAAAAAATGATTTTATAGTATTAACCTTTCTCACCTCACTTGACCTCACACTTTCATATGTTTACTTTCTTTACATAATTTTTGTTATAATAATTCAATATACTAATTTACTTGTAAAAAGAATTTTAAAATTTACATTTTTCGTTTTAAGAAAAACATATATACCATAAATTTTAGTTTATACCCTATCCTTCCAAATGATTTACATTCTTACTATTATGACCCCTCGATAAGATATTGAGTACTTGCTGATTTAGAGCGGTGGTGCAACGCTATTAAGAAAAGTACTTCCTCTGTCTCCCATAGATCTTTCCAATAGCCCTTTTTCTTTGTCCACAATAGATCTTCTCATTTCATTTTTTAACAATTAAAATACCACAACTACCTCACTTACTTTATTTATTACACCTCACCCACCTCATTTAATATACTCTACCCATTTTCATTAAGGGTATTATTATGGTAAACTTTCACTTTTTTCGACTCTCCTTAAAAACCATCAAAAGTCAAAATAAGAACATCTTAGTGGGACGAAGGAAGTATTAAATGTAAAATGAATTTATTTAAGTAAAGATTAAAACATTACTTATACAAAAATGTACCTTTATGTTTTATCCCTTATATTTTAGTCCCTAAAAACTAAAAAAAGCATTATTAGAATTCATTTAAAAGAGAGATGATGATATACTCTAGGTCAAAAAATAATAACTTTATTTTGAGATAAATTAAAAATAAAAGAATATTCTTCTTTTATACAAATAAAATAAATAATACTATTACTCAGCAATTAAGTTAGAAAAATTTGTGTGTTTTGCTTTCTCGTACCTAGAGCAAAATAATAAGAAATAGGAACAATAAACAAGCTTAAACAATAATTTGTTGGGATTATCTCAATAAAGAGAAACCCTCCAAAAATCAGCGTATGTCACTGTTTGCATCGAACACACGGTATTCTTTAGTAAAAGGCGAAAGAATAGTTCGCTTTGTGTTCAACGCGTGACTGCGTGACTATTGAGCGCTTCGAATTGGACTCTATATAGCCGCTCACAAAGACGAGCGCTTCTTGAGTTTCCGGTGTGGGAATACTTAAAAGTAGCAAATTCTTTTTCTAAAAAGAAATTTGGAGAAAGAGTAAAGTTTGTTGGATTATGTTATGTTTACCCCAAGTTTTGTACCCCAATTTGTACCCCGCAGTTTTGCACCAACACTTTGTGTTGGTGTAAAACTAATTTTTGTTAAATGCACCAACATTTGTGTCCGTGTGAATTTTTATTAACGCACCAACACTTGTGTTGGTGTAAACCATCGAAATGTTTGTGCAAACCTGTGGTGTAGAAATGGGGTATATTTGTTGGTGTAAGTGTAGCATGGTCCAAGTTTGTTTTATGGATTATGCTACGTGTACCCCAAGATTTGTACCCCAATTTGTACCCTGCAGTTTTGCACCAACATTTTGTGTTGGTGTAAAACTAATTTTTGTTAAACGCACCAACATTTGTGTCTGTGTGAATTTTTATTAACGCACTAACACTTGTGTCGGTGTAAACCATCGAAATGTTTGTGCAAACCTGTGGTGTACAAATGGGGTATATTTGTTGGTGTAAGTGTAGCATGGTCCTTGTTTTATTTTAGAGACAAAGGGGGTAATAAAGTGAGAGTCTTAGCCATTTACTTCCCCTGTCGGTTGAGTCTTGAGATTCTTTTTTTCGGATCCATCAATCTGAGAAAATTAAGAGCAAAAGAAGATGGGTTTTTGAGTCTTGATGGGGCCAAATCACCCCTTCCTTGTTGATTAATTTAAAGAAGCTTTGGTGTTTTGGGTTGTAGAGGATGATTGATTGCATTGTTTTTACAAAAATCTTTTTTTGACCAGTTTCCAGATCTTGTAAGGGGATTCGAAGATTGAACATGATTGTATCAGTGGGTCTGTCAATGAAACTCACTTGCGAGAGTTTCTTGATTCTTCATGATGTTTTGGGTGTGTTGAAAGAACTCTGAATTCTGAAAGAGTTGTGCTTGAACTTGCCAATGGATAGTGATCTGAAAACAGAGAAGAAGAAGCTCGTGGAATCAGATAAAGATGAGATGAATGTGGAGAAAGAAGAAGAAGAAGTAGAAGAGTCTAAGTTCTTGTTGCCTTGTAGGAGAGGCGGATTATCTAAAAAAACTGGAAATCCCAAGCTCAAAGTGCAGTGGAATGATAGAAATGGGGAAAATCTTCTTCAAATCTTGGAATTCCAACCTAGGTACTTCAGTTCACTATCTTGATCTTAAAGTTCACAAATTGCATTTTGTTCTTGAGGATATTGTTAGTTTAAATTTTGGAAATGTGTAGGTGTAATATGAACTTTACTACATATTGTTCTGTGTGGATAGGATTCATTGTGCTAGTGAACTACTATGGATCTTGTTTTAAGAACTCAGAGAAACTGTATGGTTTAGTTGTTTGCATTGAGATCTCCATGCCCGGAAAAGCTTCAAAACACAACATCTGTCAACAAAAATTTGTGGCGTTTTCAAATACAAACCGGCTTTTATCATCGGTCCCATTGTGGATTCTATGTGTGAATAGCCAAATGTAGATAGATCATTTGTTGCAACTCACCCCCCCCCCCCTCCCCAAAAAAGAACTCAAGAAGTGGATTGTCGGACATGGTTATGTCCTTGGCATAACTTCGCCACTTTGATTTGGATTGTTGTCTTTCATCATAGTGCGCTTAGAACTATTGAATGAATAGATTTTGTTTTTCCTCAACAGTTTGCCTTATGGTACTCTTTTATTGTTTGTATGCAGCGATGCAAGCGACTCGGACGAAGAGGGATCAGATTCTTGTATGTGTAGAGTAATGTAGTTCTTCCCATCCCATAGTAATTACTCCCACTTTAAGTCATTCTTTGACTCTCTAATCCCACCACGAATGACAGTAATGGCAGATTCTCATGAGTGATATACACCATTTACGCTAACTTGGCTTACCCAGTCCACAACTTGCACTCTTTTTGTGGAAAAACAGATCATATATGACTTCATATTTCACTGAATCTTGGTCTTGGCATCTATATAATTTACAGTGTATATGTTCCTTCTCAATCAAATTTACTGCAAACAAAATGGGCTCGTGTGCTTCTTTAGATGAAAGAAATCATGGTAAAAGATGGATCTTTTGGGTCTTTGTAAATTGTAAAAGATGAATCTCTTTTTATACATATTACCCTTGCATTTGGTAGAATCAATACAAACAACATCAGCTGCACTTGCAAACAATTTACAGAAAGGAATCAATAAATGGGGCAATAAAGAATGGAAATACAAAAACAAAAAAAAAAAGACAAATGCTCCACAAGAAAGTAGCTAGGCGCTCACTGTCACTCTAGGTTTCTTCTCCGATGGTAACGACCAATTTGAGAGAATGGCATCGACTTGAATGGGTTTGCTCTTGTTTTGTATTTTCTTATAGTTAATTGAGGGTTTCTTCTGATTCTTCTTCATGAATCTGGTTCCTTCTACTGCCTTCACTACTTTCCATTGTGTGAGGTTTTCCATTGGTTTTAACACACAATTCACACGGTCATCTCTTATATATCCGGGGCCAGAAAATAGAACACGGCTTTTACGTTCTTCTCCTTGGATCAATATACACCCATTGTTGCTTTCAATGCCATTATCAAAGTCGTCGCCCTCGTCAATGTCTTCTTCTTCAATATCACTTTCATTGAGTCTTATGTCGTCGTCATCAAAACTATCCCTACAACTATAGTACCTATAATCTGATGGGTACTCCCACTCCGACTTCTCTTGACCATCATCCGAAAAATATGAATCAATCTCCTCTTGCTGCAATGGCTCATAGATCTTGACATCTAAACTAAAGGTCACTTTTTTCTTGATCTTCTCAGCCAGTGAACATCTCCTTGCATTCCTGCTAAATCTGCATAAAGCTCACATTTTTTTCACCACAAATTTAGAAGATGAAGGCAATAAACATAAAGATTCTAAGCACCTGTACCTGGTTTTCGGATCTGGTTCACCTGACTTCCTGAAGTCTAGATGCAGGTACTTCCCCTCCACCTGAAATCCAAATGCGAAGCAGTAAAAAAACCAGTCAAGAAACAAAGATTTATCTTTTAATGACTGATTGAAAGAGGGATGAAGTGGCTGATTCTTACCGTGTCTGACCGTTGAGTTTTCTTGGCGGGCTTGCGCTGTTTATGTTTCTTTTGGATGCCAAAACATGACAGGAAACACACCATTTTGTTCTTGGAATTGGGGCCTTCTGCTGGATGATTCTTCCTTCTTCTCAGACCCTGCAATGGGTAAACAGGAATATTACAGAGTTCTTGATCCCAGGAATTATATAGCCTGTTTGAAAACTGTTATCCTTTTTTCTAGTCTTTGGTTTTTTGGGGATTTCAATGTCTTCCGTCCAACGGCAGTTTGAAAAGCCTAACGTTAACAAAGGTTAAAGAGTGAGTAGTGTTGGAGTAATGCACTTTTGTGTAATTGTCTCCTTTGAGTTGTAATAAAGACTTGAGACAAAACAATATCAAATTATTTTTTATTCAATTTCATACTCTTTTGTCCTTCCTTAAATAAATTACAATTTATTTTTTGTATAAGACTCTTTTTTAGATGTTTCAATTTTTTATTTGTATTTCCATATTTTTATTTTATTTTTTAATTTCTTTTTGAACTTACCGAAAACATGACTATATAAAACAAAAAATTTATTGTTTAATTTGAGATAGACAGAGTAAATGTTAATTTTTTTTTTTTATTTTTATTTTAAACACAAAAAATTTTAAATTTTTTAAAAATATATAAAAATTTTAAAAAAGCTTTTCTAGGAAAAGGAAACAGAGATATAAAAAAGATAAAAAAAAGGGAAAAAAACAAAGTAATAAATGAAAAAAAGAAATGAGCATGTGCACCTCTTATGGTTTAGAAAATAGACACCAATGTCTCCCTCTTCGATGGAAAATGGCCTAAAAATGATCGGAGGGGGTGTGGGTGCAACATTTTGAAAGTACGAAGGCTTTAAAAATAAGTTTCAAAAATAAAAAGGATATTGGTGCCAATTTTCCAAACCATAAGGGACACTTAAGCTATTTGGCACTAATAACTTGAATAACGAGTTACTCTGTACTTTCCCCACTGTAATTCAAGATGTGACTTTGAACTTGAAAGAGTTATAGAGGGTGTTTGGAATGTGTTTGAAAAGAGCTTTTGAGTTTCAACTTCATTGAAACACAATTTTAAGTATTTTTCAATCAACTTTAAATTATGGACTGTCATTATAGAAGTGTAAATTGTGCTCTAGGAGTAATTTTCACCAAAGCTCGAGTAATTATATTTTTACTTCTGATTTAGCATATCTACTTTTTCAAAATTCACCGCACACACAAACACCCTCATAATGTTACTCGACCACAAAGTCTTTGACTCTTAAACGACTTCTTGGTAAAGTTAAAAAAGGGATTTTAATGCAATAAATGGAGTAGTTCCTCAGTCCTATATTTTTCTTTTCATTTGAAAAAATATGCAAATATTTTTATATATTTAAAAAACGTATTCACAAATTGGTATAGAAATAGAAAGTACAAATTACATTGTTTACAACTAACAAAAACTCTACAAAATAAGTAATGACAATAATATTTTATTTTTTCAATGATCAATAAAAACATGTATGTAACTATAGTTTTAAAAACCAGAATGAACCATCCGGTTTGGCCTGAAAATTGGCTAACCGGTGGTCAAGTCGGTCCGATCCAGCCCTAAAGACCGTAATATGTGTCGAACCGGCTCGAACCGATGAACCTTTTTTTATTTGCGAAATTCTTCAAAAATCTTAGCACCCATGGAATTTGAACACCCCACTCTTTGCATCCCACGTCCAAGTATCAACCACTAATGCTAGAGCACTCTTTTCTTCCTTTTAAGCATAAACCGGTATAACATAACACTCTTCATAATTAAAAGAATAAAATTTCTAAAATATCTTTTTCATTTTTAAAAACTTTAAAATAATAATATTTTAAAAGAATACAGAACAGTTTATTTTCATTTATAATATAATACACTTTTCATGAATTTCCTTTCATTTTTTTGAAAAATATAATATTGTAGCTTCGACTCAAACTTTTAACTATTGATACAAACTCAGAATGCACATCATGGAAATATCTTATTTAAATATGTTTTAATAAGATTGGGCAACTTATTGAACAAATAAAATTGCCTCTTACTTTATAAAATTTTTTAATGTAATTTTTAAACATTTCATAGTATGTAATTTTTTTCATGTCAATGCTACAACTTAAATAAATTAAGTTAATTATCATTTTATTCATACATCATAAATTATTTGTTTTTAGAAAGAGGAAGTATTATATATACATACATATATAATTAAGTATTTTATATACATGCATGCATGCATGCATGCATGCATACATACATACATACATACATACATACATACATACATGCGTACGTACGTACATACGTACATACATACATATTTGAACCCCTGGTTCATCCATTCAAATCACTGGTTCGACCAGTAACTCACTGCCTTGGCTGGTTCGATCACCGGTTTGATTCTGAAAACTATGCATGTAACACAAGTTATCGTTATAATAGTAACTAGAAAGATTAATTTGAAACCGAAGAAGTATATGATGATTACTCATATAAAATTTGTTAATAAATGTTTGACGGTTTGTAGTATTTTTTTCTTATAAAAAATTAATGATTGTACATTTAGGTACTTGTTTCGTGTATGAGTTTCATCGATCTGGCATGTATTTATGTTAGCCTTATTTAGTCTTAAGTTAAATGCAGTGTTCCACTCTCTCCATAGCGTGATCCTCCGTGACAACGTCATAGGCGTGCATCACGGAGGAACACCGCCCCCATAAATGCGTGATCCGACCACATGAAGATGGAAGTGGCCACGACCACGAAGGTATGCTTCATTGCTTTGTCCCTTTTTTAGAGTAAATTCCATAATTGATCCATTATAACATTAGAGTTTACATATTTAGTCTTCTATTATCAAATATTACCATGATAGTCCTTTTTTTATGAGTACCTTTCCATAAAAAAGTCTTTTTTTGATCTTCTACCATATACGTGTTAATTTAAGGGCTAAAAGTGTAATTTCACAACAATTTTATATCTTTCTTAGCTTGTTATATACAAATCCAAATGCCGCACAGATGTGTCGTATGTGAATTACAGTCGCTTTATACTACAATTATAGTCTACACATGTGGTCTTTCATCATAATTTTAACCCATAATAATAGTCATTATTTTTGTGTTATTTGTGTAACCAATATCAGAATACATCAATGAACATAAGATTGATCTCAAATTACACTTTTAGCCTTCAAATTAACACCAATATGATAGAAGATAAAAAAGGACTATTTATGTAAAGGTACCCATAAAAGAAGAACCACCGGGGTAATATTTGATAACAGGGGACTAAATATGGGAACCCCCTATTATAAAGGACCAATTATAGAATTTACTTTTTCTTTAATACAGTACTTTTTTTCATTGAATTTAATTTTTAACTAAAATTACTATTTTTATCTATAATTTTTTGCACGTAAGTTAATAATTGACAAATAATATGTCATTAGAAATACTTTCACAAGTTTTACGCAATGACATCAATATTGCATATATAATTTTGATGTAATGTCTCTCTTTTTCTTCTTCAAAATACTTTTGAATTGAACGAACTATATTTTTTATAGACCTGTGCAAACAAGGGTCGGCCCGTTTGGCCCGCCCTTTAAAAAGGGCAGATATGGACAATCTTTAATATCCAAATGGGCGGGCCGGCCCAAGCCTGAATTGTATATGGGCGGATCTGGAAGTTACTTTTAGCCCATCTGGGTCAATAGGCCCGCCTATATTCATCAAATATATTTACTTTATAATTAATTACCTAGCCAATATAAATTTTAAAATTTTCTATAATTCATGTATAATAGTTTAATTTACTCACCTCTTTTAAACAAAAATCGATACTCTTTTAATGAATCAGTATGATGAGTTTATTAATTATGCAACAATATCTCTATTATGCTTTCTATATAAATGTGGTGACTGATTATTTTATTTTAAAATTTAAAAAGGAGTTCAATGTTTTTTTTAATTTTTTTGTACAAAAAAAAATTTCTTAATGTTTTATCCGGGCTGGGCGGCCCGGTGGGTAGTCCGGCCCGCAAATATGGGCGGGTATGGGTAAAGAATTTAGCCAATCGAATCCAGGCCGGGTCAGGCCCGCCCATGTAAATGGGCTAAAAATTTATATCAAGCCCGACCCAGATCTGGCCCGGATCCTTATTTGCACAGGTCTAATTTTTTATTATTATTTTTGAATAAAACATGTTTTAAAATTAAATTATGTAATCATATTTTTTCCCTTTTAAATTAATCCAATTTATGTTTTTTCTTTTTGTATGGTATAAAAAAATTTAAAAATGTTTACAGAAAATAAAATTTAAGTTAATATTACTTGTAACGTACTTGTATGATTTTTTTCAAAGAATTTAGTGGTATCCTTTTTTTAGTTGTGCAATAGAATATTTTATACTCCGTACTATTTTTTCTTGACCGTGGTAAAATATAAAATGACAAAAAAAAACAAATAAAATTGGACAAAAATTGAACAAATTCTATATAAATAAAAAACAGAAATATTAAATAAATATATGGAAAAAACTTTGAATAAAAAAGTGATGAAAAGAACAGATTTTTATTTTAGAAGATAAAATTTAATTGAATGCAGTGAAATAAGTTAGATGGTAAGTACATTCAGCACTGATGTGACACTAAGTGGATGATGATTTCGAATGAGCTGTGTGAAGCGCAACAAATAGTCTTACGAGGAACGCGAGTCGGGATCGTCTAGATTTTTGGTCATATTCATCCCAATTTTATTTGGTAGAAACAAGTTAGAATAACGGTTTGAGACACCTTATTATTCCACTTTATCTTATTTGTTTCACGATTGAGACAATTAAAAACGATCCAGAATGTCCTTATTCAAAATAGGATGAGTTTTATTTGAATCAGTTCAAAACGGATTCAATAAAAATGGCCGACCCATTTTTGACATGAGACCCGACTCAAAAATTTTGGAATTTGAATAAAAAATTTGTTGACCAAACTCAAAGTCAATTGAACTTGAAATGACTTGTTAAAAAGGGGTCAAACACGACATAATCCAAAATCAACCTGACTGACTTGCTAATATAGGAATTTCTTAAAATCGTGTACTTTGATATGAAGTATAATGTTAAAAATCAAGGTTATAAATATATTTCTTTTTCTTACTGATGGGAAATAATACGTGGCTCGGCCTACATTTTCCAATTATTTACGAAGAACAGTCAAACCGGACTTGTTTAATAAAATGGAGGAATAAGAGAATATTCCCCGAATATGCTTCCCCTCCTCCCCTATAAAAGGAGGCCTCTCCCTCAATGTTGAAGGAGGCCAATTTCACTCCTCTCCTGCTACTTTCTCTCTCTAGATATTTTTAGAGTATATTTTTCCTTCTTCAAGAGCTTCTAGCTCCACCATTAATGGCTTCCGAGCCGAACTCTTGTACCGTGTACACACCCCCGATATTAATAAAAACCCCCGTTGGCAAGGTACCGCCAAAAAAGGCCCGTGGTTTTCTCCCGATTTGGGTTTCCACGTCAAAATCCCCGTGTTTATATTTTCGTGTATTTTTAGACTAGTTTATCGTTTTAGCCGGGCTAAAAACGGTATACCGGTCGATAATTTACNCCCCTATAAAAGGAGGCCTCTCCCTCAATGTTGAAGGAGGCCAATTTCACTCCTCTCCTGCTACTTTCTCTCTCTAGATATTTTTAGAGTATATTTTTCCTTCTTCAAGAGCTTCTAGCTCCACCATTAATGGCTTCCGAGCCGAACTCTTGTACCGTGTACACACCCCCGATATTAATAAAAACCCCCGTTGGCAAGGTACCGCCAAAAAAGGCCCGTGGTTTTCTCCCGATTTGGGTTTCCACGTCAAAATCCCCGTGTTTATATTTTCGTGTATTTTTAGACTAGTTTATCGTTTTAGCCGGGCTAAAAACGGTATACCGGTCGATAATTTACACCATCATTTTGGCGCCACCCGTGGGACCCGAACAAAAAGTTGTGTTTTTTGTTCGGGCAAATTTTTTCTGTTACCACACAAAATGGGCAAAAATAAAAAAGGAAGGAAGAGAGCCGTCTGTTCAAAAAAGGAGAGAGATTCCAAAGTAAAAAAAAGAAAGAGAGAATTTGTTCACAGGGCATTCCTCTCCCCGTCACCGTCGTTCTTCAAGTTGTCCACTAAGCTGCTGGAAATCCAACATCACTGGTGCTGAACGTGTTCTGGTTGTGGCTGCCGCTAGTCTTGAAATCCACCGCCACACCGAAGGAGCAGGGGGGAGAGGAGTGGCCAGGCCGCCGTCCACATCTAGCGCCAGGAGCTGATGTCGTCATCACTGCCAAGGAAATCAATCGCCCCTATGAAGTCTGCCACCCGCATTGGATCCAACCAACCCTCAATTGAAATCAACTTCATCATGGGAAGAGATTACTCATCATTTCGACGGAGATCTATCATCGGATCTAGCGGGATATCCATGTACCCGCACTCTCATTGAGGTCCACCGCCATTGACGTCGTTGGTGTCGTCGTAGTTGACGCTGTTGGTGCCGCTGCCGCCGCTAGTCTTGAGACTTGCCGCCGCCTACGAACCGTGTTGAGGGGGGCAGATCTAGATGTTGTATTAGAAATCAACTACCGCCGCCGCCAACTAACTTTTGTTCGCCACCCAGAATTCCTGCACGCATCCACAAATGCAAGGGTGCTCAAACACTTGCTGGTCACCATTTGAATTTGCTGCCACCGAAGCCGCCGAATATACACGCACCCGCACTCCCGTTGAGGTCCGCCGTCGTCACCACTACTCAAATCGACCACCATCATTTTGGAGAGCTTGTCGCCACTGACGTTGAAGAGGAAGAGGACCGCCGTTCCCACTTTGTTAGAGCAAGAGATGGAAGGAGATCTGTGGACTGTTGCTCAAACATGCCGCCGCCCACCTTCCCGAAGCCATCACTGGAAGCTGACAAAGTTTGGAGAAGGATATGTTTATCACAGTCGCTGGATTTGATGGTCCGACACAAATACCAGAATCAATGGACGTCATTGCCTCCTCCCGTCACCATCTCCATGGCACCATCAGGGGTACTCACCGTCGGAGCTCACATCCATAATCACCACAAAAGCCAAGATTTGCTGCCGTAGTCACTAAAATTCGCCACTACCGTCAGTGAGATCATCCGCAACGGCCTCGATTGGGTTTCTGTTGTATACCCTTTACACTCTCCATATTCCGCAGCCAGCTCAGCTCCGATCTGTTCATCATCCAAGAAAGTGCAGTGGATTGGCTACTAAGGTCTAAGTTCTAAGTTAGGCCATTGGCATGTGGGAAACACAGACAAAAAAAAAGGGGGAGTGCATAATTTTTCCAATTTCATAGAAATCTACTTTGGAGATAAGGAGAATCCCATCCAGTAGCTTCCGTCCAAATCGAAGAGAAATGGTGGGGTGTCCAAGATGTTACCCCATATATTTCATAATGGGCCACATGCATGCATTGCAAAAGGATACCACGGGAGGGATAAGTTCTCTCACTTTTGTAAATCTGGTCCCACCACTAATATTGCACAAGTACTATGGAGCAATAATTTGGGTATTTGTACATACCTTTTGGGCGAATTTGGAGGGAAGACTGAGACACAAGCCGAGCTTGGTACGCTGGTTACAACACCGGTCTTGCTCAGTATTAAAAAAAAAGAGGAAGACTGAGACACAGGCCCGGCCTGGCACGCTGGTTACTACACCGGTCTCGCTCAGTATAATAAAAAAAATATAAAATATGTGACACAGGCCCGGCCTGGCACGCTGGTAAGTATCATTCTTGTGCGCGAGACAGGCCAAGAATGGTATACGCACCGGTCTTGCACATATTTTCTCGTAAGTCTGACCCCAATCGAATTGGGTACACCGGTGGCTCAACTGAGCCCTTATCGGGGACGCCCGATTCTTCAGGCCCTTTGAACAAGGCAATACAAAAGTGGTTTCTACATGATACGAAGATATTTACATCAGTTAACCGGGCTAGGATCGATCTTCAACAAAGCTGCTGCAGCGTACTCAATTCTTATTAACTAACGTCGATGTCGTTTGTATACTAATTTCGTCATGCATCGTTTACTTAATTCGTACTAACATCGGTTTCGACGAAATAACTACTTGAAGCACCGCCGCTTCATCGTACTAACTCCGGTGTCGTATAACTACTCGAAGCATCGTTGCTTTTTCGAACTGACACCGCTTTTGTTACAATAATTATTCGCGCGAAGTTTAATCACTCTAACACCGAGCTCCTCGGTAAAGATAATAATTATTTGAGCACGGCATAGGCCGGTCAAAAAAAATGTTGTACATATTATTTTTGCAGGAAGACCTTCTGATTCAAGAAATTAGAGAATTAATGAAGACTCGGAGGACTAGCAATAATATCAACCGGTCAAGAATCCAAAGTACGAAGAGTGAAGATTACACTCGGAGGACTTATTTACTTTTTTAAGTTGATGATTCTCGCAACTTAAAAAAGTGGAGGACTTCTTGATGGGAAATAATACGTGGCTCGGCCTACATTTCCCAATTATTTACGAAGAACAGTCAAACCGGACTTGTTTAATAAAATGGAGGAATAAGAGAATATTCCCCGAATATGCTTCCCCTCCTCCCCTATAAAAGGAGGCCTCCCCCTCAATGTTGAAGGAGGCCAATTTCACTCCTCTCCTGCTACTTTCTCTCTCTAGATATTTTTAGAGTATATTTTTCCTTCTTCAAGAGCTTCTAGCTCCACCATTAATGGCTTCCGAGCCGAACTCTTGTACCGTGTACACACCCCCGATATTAATAAAAACCCCCGTTGGCAAGGTACCGCCAAAAAAGGCCCGTGGTTTTCTCCCGATTTGGGTTTCCACGTCAAAATCCCCGTGTTTATATTTTCGTGTATTTTTAGACTAGTTTATCGTTTTAGCCGGGCTAAAAACGATATACCGGTCGATAATTTACACCATCANACGTGGCTCGGCCCACATTTCCCAATTATTTACGAAGAACAGTCAAACCGGACTTGTTTAATAAAATGGAGGAATAAGAGAATATTCCCCGAATATGCTTCCCCTCCTCCCCTATAAAAGGAGGCCTCCCCCTCAATGTTGAAGGAGGCCAATTTCACTCCTCTCCTGCTACTTTCTCTCTCTAGATATTTTTAGAGTATATTTTTCCTTCTTCAAGAGCTTCTAGCTCCACCATTAATGGCTTCCGAGCCGAACTCTTGTACCGTGTACACACCCCCGATATTAATAAAAACCCCCGTTGGCAAGGTACCGCCAAAAAAGGCCCGTGGTTTTCTCCCGATTTGGGTTTCCACGTCAAAATCCCCGTGTTTATATTTTCGTGTATTTTTAGACTAGTTTATCGTTTTAGCCGGGCTAAAAACGATATACCGGTCGATAATTTACACCATCACTTACTATTTGTTCTGAATGTATAAATTCATATTTGCATAAATTTTTTTAATGATATTACATGATTATCTTATTATTTCAAAACTTCGACATATTTAGCTTTTTCATTCCTAATATTGATACTTGGCCATAAAATTACTACGTAGAATACTTAAAATCTCAAAAAATAATTAAAGGTCATAAGTTCATAACTGGATGATGGAGTCAAACCCAATTATACTAGATAATGAATACCGAGTATATAATTCTCAATCCGAATCTAAACCCTAGTACTCCGTCCCCCAGTTTTTGTTCACTTTTGACTTTTGAAATTGTTCATCTAAGCACTTTGACTTATCAAATTCTCTCAATGTGTAAGTCTAAATATAGTCATGTGTGATCTTGTTTGATTTGTCTTAACATATAGATTATTAATATATAATTTCTATAATTTTTTAATATACAAATTACAAGATAAAATGGATTAAATAAGTGCATTAGATGATGTGCAAAAATGAAAGTGAACAAAAACTAAGGGATGAAGGGAGTACTACCTAATCCAAACTCAAAATAACCAAACTCAAATCCAATTGACCAATTTGACCAACCCACCCTCAACCAAATCCGGAGAACAATGCTATCAAGATTCTTGGGCATGCGGATGCCCCTGAATGCCGATCCGCAGGCAATCACCACCGTCCACTCTTATAAAATCTTCACCGTATATTGCTTGCACCGTTCTTCTTTACAGAGTACTTCGTATTTTTTGTTATTCTCAAGCCCCTCCCCTAGTCGGCGTCTTCGCCTCTCTCGACAGATTGAAGCCACCAAATTGAAAATAAGACTCCTCCTGTGAGATCGGAGGATATACGGAGGGAAAGGATGGATTCAGATCAAGGCAAGCTGTTCATCGGTGGCATCTCTTGGGAGACGGATGAGGAGAAGCTGAAGGACCACTTTCAGAGATTCGGCGAGGTTTTGCAGACTGTGGTGATGAGAGACAAGCTTTCCGGGAAGCCCAGAGGCTTTGGATTCGTTGTTTTTGCAGATCCGGATGTTCTCGATTCCGTTCTCCAGGAAACCCACACGATTGACGGCCGTACGGTGAGAGTGATTTCGCAAAAGGATGTCTTTTGTTGTTTCTGATTTTGATTTTCTATACTTGGTTTTATTGGATTTGGATCTCCTGTTGTTTGGATGAATTTAGCCTTGATTGTTGATTAATCGGTTTTAATTTTGATGTTGTGGGTGTGTGCTTAGTTTTGACTTCTGCGTGTGCAGTTCTTGGCCCTTTAAGTTCTGATTCAGATTGAAATTGAGTTATAGATTTCCAATTCATTTGTTTTCTTTGCTATTCTTGAAGGAGTTTACATGGTTCAAGAAGGTGAATTAATATGCTCCGTAGTTGGAAACTCCGAGCCTTTTATTGCTGTTTTTGGGTGGTTGGAGCAACCCACGATATATTTATTAATAGTAACAATAATTACTAGTAGTATAAAATTAAGATTTATTTTCTTGTCTGTGTATGAGGTGCCAATGTAGGATGTGTTTGCAATGGCGGGTAACTTTCCCTTATCTGATTCTTATCGTTGCATGCTTTGGAACTCGTATATATTCAGTGAAAATATGTATTTATTACTTGTGGTATATATATCTATTCAGTCAGTTGCATTAACTATGTGTTCCTATCATATAGGTTGATGCCAAACAGGCCATATCAAAAGAGGAACAACAGGTATCCAAAAATGGAAATCCCAATAGTGGTAGAAGTTCAGGAGGTGGTGGAAGTAACAAGACTAAGAAAATATTTGTTGGCGGATTGCCTCCTGCTCTGTCAGAGGATGGCTTCCGTGGTTACTTTGAAGCCTATGGTAATGTAACTGATGTTGTAATCATGTACGATCAGCAGACCAACCGGCCACGTGGATTCGGTTTTATTTCATTTGATTCAGAAGATGCAGTAGATCGGGTTTTACACAAGACCTTCCATGATTTGAGTGGTAAGCAAGTAGAAGTAAAACGTGCACTTCCTAAAGATTTGAACTCCAGTTCTGGTTCTGGCGGTGGTCGGTCCATGGGAAGTGGTGGTGGTGGAAATTATCAGGGGTATGGAGGAGGACATGGAAACAATTCTAATTCTTATGATAGTCGGATGGATTCCAAGTACATGCAGCAACCATCCGCTGTATCAGGGTACCACCCCTATGCTTCTTCGACTGGATATTCTGCTGGATATGGGTATGGATCTTCTAACAGTGCGATGGGTTACAGTAGTTATGGAAATTATGGTGGGGCGGCTCCTGGTTATGCTGGACCGGCAGCTTCTGCATATGGAAATCAAACTGTTCCTGGTGGTGGCAGCTATGGAGGTGGTCCTGCTGATGGACAAAGAAACTCATGGAACTCTCAGGGTCCTGCTTATGGTACTATGGGTTATGGAAGTTCCAACTGGGGGGCCAATGCAGGTGTGGGAGGTGGAGGGCCAGCAAGCCATTCTCCAGCTGAAGCGGCAGGTTATGGGAACCAAGGTTATGCTTATGGTGGGTATGGTGGGAATGATGGAACTTATGGAAACCCTGCTTCTTATGGGGCGGTAGGACGTTCTGCTGGCGGTCCACCAAGTAGCAATTCCCCTGCTGGTGGTACTGGAGAGCTGCAAACTGGTGGTTATGGTGCTTATGGTGATGCCAGTGGAAATCCTGGATACCCGTCTGGAAATTATGGATCTCATGGAAACCAAGCTGGTTATGGAGGTGGTTATGGTGGTGTGCCAGCTCGGCAAACTCAGCAACAATGATGATCTCTTCATTCTTCATGCAAGACACTATTTTCTTTCTGGAAGTTTGTCTTCTCATAAATGGTCTTCTGTTACGTGAGCTGAGAGAGGGTGACTGTTTCAATACATCAGACCTGCTTAATTGGACTGGTTGGATTGCTTGAATCCCAGTAGTTTGTTATTCTGCAATAAGTAGCATTATACAGTAGACCTAGCTTATTACTATATCATTATTATTACTATTTTCTGTGTTAAGTGTAGCGTTTATTTTGGCGTGCTTATCTTTCCCCTAGCTAATCTGGTGCATGGCTTCTCTTAGCCTGCACTTATATAAGTGTGTTGTGTGTTGAATTTGCCTCTGCTTGATATTCTGCAAGTCCTTTGGTGATGGAGTTAGTATTGACTGTGCTATCTTAACTTTCCTTTTTTTGAAAATTGGATTTTTTTTCTTCAATGGTACGAGATTGGTGGTGCGTAGTTCTTGCTGGTAGAGCCGTAGAAGTGCAGCTATAGCCAAGTTTGGATAGATGAGTTCATAATGGGTAGCGAAATAATTTAGTGGTAGTTGATTTTTGAGAACAGCATAATCATTTCCCCCTGTATTTTGGCCTTTTTGTGTTGTACAGGAGATGAAGCTCTCAAGTAAGGTGTTTGATGAGTACTTGTTCACTCAAAGTGGAGTTGTCATGCAATCTTGAAACCGGAAATGGTGATTCAGACCAGACCAGACCAAGCTGCTGTTGTTGAGCTCATTCTACTCACAGCCAACAATGGTATGTTTGGGGTGCATGCAAATCTCTCATCGATAGATTCCATTAGTTACACAAAAGCTTTAGCTAACTTTATACACAATTATCTCATATAGGATACTAAAATTAAAATCATGACCCTTTCCGAAGGGAGATTTTTTTCGGGGGGGGGGGGGGGGGNTTTTGTGGGCAATATTACACATGTTGGCAGGGTGGTTGCACGATAGGCCTACCTTTCTTCATTAGCTTTCTTCGATTCGATGGCCATTGCATCTTGCATGGACACCAATTTGGCATTGCAATTTGAGGCAATAGAATAACCCAAACATGGGTCATGTATGCTGGTTTGGTCAGCCCTCAAAACTGGCCTTGACTTCAAACTTGTTGAATCAGTTCTAGATTGAACTGGGTTAACCAATGGTTTGACTGGTTGGGACGGTTGGCCATTTTTTACATGGCCCAAAATGGGATTTTCATTTACAGAGTACCGGAGTACTATTTTGTACTCCCGTCCCACAAAAATTGTGACATTGCACTATTCACAAGTCAAACTGCTTTTTTCCTTTACTTATTTTTGGTTGTCATTGAAGCCTCTTGTTTTGTGGAGTTTTTGATGTAGTTTTTAAATATATAAATTTTATTTTTAAATTTTACTTCAATGTTAGACAAATCGAATTCAAAGTAACTTCAATCAAGTTTTGTTATCCGCAATGTGACATTTTTTGTGTGACATGGGGAGCATTTGTTTTTCTTTATTGTTACGGAGTACTTGTTAGTAGACGATAATCACTCATTACACCTTGCGTCCCAAAATTTTCGTGATCTGTTTTGCCAAGTTAAACCCAGAAGAAAGTTATCTTTTGGAGAGAAAGTTTGCTTTTGAATTACTCTGTAAATGGTATTGTTTGTTTTTATACAAGGGCATCCTTTTTTCCCCTACAGAACTTGAGTGTCATGGGTATATACTTTGTACTATACTATTGTTCCTATACTATTGTATAGTATTGTATAGTATAGTACATCTGTCCTGTTTTTTCATTTTGTTCCTTTCCTTGTTGAGTCTTTGGCCTTGTAATAACTAGGTTTTTTTTCTACTAAAGGGTTTTTGAAATGCTATTATTCCCTGTGTAGACATGTTATTTTTCTGGCTTAATGTGTCAACTAAAATTTGCTTCTAACATGTTTTTGAAATGTGCTAGCTCAATGCCTCAATCTGTTTAATTAGGTCGAATTACAAATGTTTTAAGGTTAGGGATCCTTTGTCCGGAGTATCTTGTATCATCCTCCAGATGTTTGCCTTGCCACGGTACAAAATGTGGGCCCCATTTTATCGTTCTACTCCCTCTATTCCATATTAATTGTGTAGTAACACTTTCTTGATACATTGAAAAAAAGAGATGAATGTAGACATGATGTATGTCTACATTCGTTCATTCTTCAATGTATCAAGAGAGTGTTAATAGACTCTTGATATAGAATGGAGTATGTGGCAGCATCTAGAGGATGCATTGTGGAGGTGGGATGTCATTTTTGAAAGAGGGGATCTGCTCTCTACAACTCAATTATGTTATCGTGCGTGCGTGCGTGTGTCAACCTTTTATATAAAAATGGCATGGATAGTACTAGCTCTGTCCCGGAACGGTAGGTAAAAATGGAGCACATGGAGATAAGGCGAATTTGATGTCAAGTGTAATTATTGGCAGTGTTTGTGTTATACGGAGTAGTATTCATAGTTTTGCGGTGCTATTACTAGAAAACTACTCCGTAAAATTTTCCTGTCTCATAATTATCTTCTTAGGCCCCTATTTAGATTGTTCTATAAAATTCACTTTTCGTTTAGGGAAATGGGTAGGTTAGTTGGTGATCTTTATAGTTTACTCTGTATCTTCCCTTTATACAAACTATAATTACACAAATTTAACTTTGTGGGAGTAACTTAAAAGGGGTTTGCTAGGGTACCCCAAAGATGTATACCTTTTTTTCAGACACACACATATACTTGCATTGTGTTGAGGGTCTGTGTGTGTCTCAAAGAAATGGTGGTGTAAGTTGGGGTACACCACTTGGGGTACCTCTAGGTTTTTCCAACTAAAAATTGTTCTTTTAAAAAATTATTTTGTACTTTGTAGATGTTAGATTATAAAAAAATGTGGAGTGTATTGCTTTAGAGGAAAAAAATACTCTCTCAAAATTATCCTTTTGTTATGCTCTTGTAAAATTTTTCTTATTTATTTATTTATTATTTTTAATCATTTGTTAAGATGGTATGATCACAGTTGCATCTTGTTTTAAAGAATATTTGATGTATTTTTTTAATAAATATTTTTTCTGAAATGTTCAACTATTATTTAAATTTTTAATTGAAATGAAAATAAACACATTTAAATATTTGTAATTCAAAACATGACGATAAATTGGAACAGATAGAGTATATACTCTTGTGTATTCTTGCTTCGTAAAAGACTTCATACGGATTTAAAAAGGTTAAGAAATGTAGTTAATTTTTGTGAATATGGGTGAAATTTTGCAAGTCATAATTTTATTTTTTACAAAGAAATATAGGAAGTTATATGTGTGTGCGTTTTTAGTTTGTTGGAAAAGAGATGTTAAAAAACAATTTTTTTAGGGTAAAAAAACAATTGTCAATTGTTGGCTTTAAAAAAAACACCTCGTGCTTATTTTTTATACTATCGGCGCAAAATAAAAGTTAGGGAGAAATTTGAAAGGTTTTATATGAAAATTGGCATAGAATTAAAAAAATAAAATTTACTTTTATTTATTAAATTTTTTTAATTAAAAGTTTAACAAAAAAGAAGGAATATGAATTACACCATTATTTTAAAAGTTTAACTCGTTTTCTCTTCTCTACGTCGCCAAGGGTCAATCCAAGCATGGTGTAGTTGGAAGAATTTGTTGCAAGTCAGATCTATATGGTGAATATAAATGGGGGAAAGTTTAACACACAACACTTGTGGTGAATTAAACAACACTCACAAATAATCTGGAAGAAAGAGAGAAATGAAAAACCCGATACTTTTACGAGGTTCGATTTTCTTAATTTACGATACCAAAATTTTTATCTCTTGTGGCGTTCCTAGATTATAAGTACAAGCAATCTATTTATAGAAAAAAATCTAGGGTTATAGTTTATCCGCATGCCATTAAATAAGCCTTCCCAAAGCCCAAAAATATTTTCAAAATTTTATACAATGACAACGTTTAGTGTTAGTATTTTTAAAGTTAATTTCCACAGCTCAAAATTTATCTAAAATGTCAATGTTTATCACATACGGTGTTACCAAACAGAATCAACTCATGTAACTTTTTGTTTTGTACAACTTTTAATTATTCTTTAAATATATAATTTTTATTTTAATTTTTTAAATCAATATTTAAATAAAAATATAATATGAAAATGATTTTAGTAAAATATCATAAATTGAAATGAGACAAAAATAAGGAAACAAGAGAGAGTAGTGTTCCATAATGAAACACATCCAACCTCTCAACTCATAGGGCAATGACAAGAATGCCACACAATTAGTACTTTTTTCAAATGTCATTGTCTTTTTTTCAATAATGTGATTGAACTTCCTAAAACATTCAAAAGTACATCAAGTATTACATTTTTGCAAAAATGTCATTCTATTTTTTCATACTTTAGAAATAATATCACTTAAATACCAAAACGAACTAGATATTTTTGAATTTTCTAAAAGCTAGAAAGTTCAATGCTACTATTGAATGAAAAAACAGTGTGACATTTTTTACAAAAATAATTCTTGATTGATATTTTTAAATATTTTAGAGAATTCAATGAAATTAAAAAAAAAGTAGAGACATTTTTCTTTTAATAAAAACAAAAGTTGGGTGAGATTCTTGTGCTTATTGATTGAGAAATTAGCCCGTTTTTTGAGCAATTTAACTTTCTTATTCCTTTCTACAAAAAATCACTTGAACAATACTAGGTTCACAAATAAAACAATCACAAACTTCACAAACGTACTATTTCAGTTGTAAATTCTCATTTTAAAATTATTTCAGGCTACTTCATTTTTTTATTGAAGTTCACAAATAATAAGTTTATGAAATTTGTGACGATTTTGTTTGTGAACCAAGCATTTCCCAAATCACTTACACTCGTTACTATTCAATCTTTGTAAATGTGTGAAAAAAGGGAGAAAATTCCATTTTCCTACTGTAATTGCAAACTCAAATAGTGAGGGGGACAAATAACTGGATATCACCAGTAAAAATTCAATCTTTTTGAATGCCGCCATCGCTCCCTGCTAAGAATATGAATGGGGATTTCGTATGAACGCTCAATAAGCTGAAGCCAATGCCTTGTATGGATCACCAAATGCAGCCACATTCCCAGGTCGGGAGAACACCACCTACAACATGTTTGTGTTTATGTCTGAGAAGAATCTTGTCTTGTTTTATATGAAGAAAAAAACAGGAACAAATAAATGCAGAGACGCATTCCCTACGCTGAATCAAGATTCATATGTACCTGATAGTTTCCCAGCGTGCAGGTTTGGAACCCGGCAGCGCAATAATCAAAGTAATACTCCCATGTCCGGATGAACTTGTGGTCAAATCCCAGATCAAGAATGTCTCTGAATGACACAGTTTATGGTCAGCCCATAATCAAAATCCACAATTTTTGTTTCTTTTGCTTGTTCTTTTGTCGTTTCTTGTTGGGCTTTGTGGAGGCTTGTTTGTCGGCCCGGCCCAGTTGGGCGTAGCCCTAGTTTTTTTTTCCTATATATATAGAGGGCTTGTACTTGTAATCGGCACCACAAGTGAAATAAGAAAATCCTCCTGTTGCAGCCGTGGATTAGGAAAACCGAACCACGTTAAATTCTTGTGTGTCGTTTGTGTTCCGTTTCTCTTGATTCTCGCAGATATTTGTGTGTGTTGCGTGTTTTATTCCAAACAAGTGGTATCAGAGCAAGGTTGTTCAACACGAGAACACAAATAGTGAGAAATTTGTCACCTAGGGTTTTTCAGATCTGTGCGTGCTGAGCCGCCGGGAGAGATCTGAGATTCCAGTAGTCCAATCTGAGATTGCAGTTCAGATCGTGCCGCCGTCAGCCGCTGATTCGTCCAGGTGCCGTCGTAGAGGAGTCGTCACTCAACCGGCCGTCGCTGAAGGAGCAGTGCTTCTGTTGAGCGAGACCGCCGCCGTCGACGAGAGGAGTCGCTGGGTCGGGATCTGTCGCTGTCGTGGAGGAATCGCCGCTGCGTCGCCATCTCGATCGCCGCCTCCGATAGCCGCGCGCAGAAGGAGCCGCCGCCGCTACCGTCTTCAGTTGCTGAGCCGCCGGGAGTGACGCCAAACAGCCGCGGCAGGAGCGAACACCAGGGGTCGCCAACGCCGTCCGAGACACCGCCGCCGCCGGGTTGAGAAGTCGCCGCGCAGACGCAGCAGGACCGCTGCCATCTTCTCCTTCTTGCCCAATTGAAGCTGCCGATCGAAGGGGCTGTTTTTGAGTTGGGCCGTATTCAACAGCCAAAGAAAGAAAAGGAAAAAAGTTGTGGGCCAATTTGTTTTTTAAATTGGTCAGTCATTTTCTTCTTTGGTGTTTTTGGGCTTAGTTTGGTTTGGCTAAATTAATTGGTGTGGTGGACCTGATTTTCTGACAAAATTACCAAGATCTGAAATTTTTGTACCGGGGATCTCGTCTAGTCGTTTGAGATGGCAGAAGACGGGAAGTTCCGAATTGAGAAGTTCGATGGTACAGATTTCAGTTGGTGGAAGATGCAAATTGAAGATTTGCTGGTTCAGAAAGATTTGGACGTGGTTTTAGGTGACAAGCCAGAAAAAATGTCGGATGCAGATTGGGCAAGTTTGGACCGGAAAGCTATGTCCGTGATCCGTCTCTCATTGACCAAGAATGTTGCGTTCAACATTCTGAAGGAGAAGACAGCGAAGGGAATTATGGACGCGCTGTCTAA